CACTGGTTGAGAAACACTGGTATAGACTTCCACACTGGACGCACAACGGAAACACAACAAGCATCAGACAAATCCAACGCTAGCTTCTCTTTAAACTCTTCATCGTGAGAGAAATCAGACAGAACCTAAAACAGACTCTGCGACTGAACCCAGGGACTGAGCCGAGGAGTTCAAATGCGCTGCCATAAATTGACATTGAAACGACGAGACAACGCACTTCTGTTTCTCAGACGGGAAGCTCGGGAAGTGACGGAACTCATTACTGTGCTCCTGATGGAACTCTGATGCTCTTCTTCTCACGCAAGGCCCACGGAGACTCACTCTGCCTCCTCCAAACGCCACTGTTCTCTGTGACAGCAAGGAGCGAGGGGGGGGGGGGGGGGGGGGGGGGGGGGGAGATGTGTGAGTTATGTAGCGGTGGGACGTTGTTTATGTTTGTTTCATTGAATTTTGTTTGGTTTCAGAGGTACAGTACGTGATGTTGTTAGCTTAGCCGTAGCACCAACTGGAAACCACTCCCCCCTACCCTCCCTCTCCACGGCCCGCTCCAAAATGTTTTTTATTAATATTTGGAGACTATAGACATCTGGTCAATTCCATTACTACATGAAAACACATGATATCTTGATACTTTTCAGGTTTAGGGACGTTTTAATAGTTATTTAGAAGTGTTGTAAGATCAATGTGTGAAAGTGTTTCTTTAACCAGATTATTACATGTGTTTTCTCTATAATACATCAGTGAAACTAACCCTAACTAAGGCCCTGTCCACACGAAGTCAAGCTCAGGCCTAAACGCAAAAATACTTTATCAATCCAGTGTATCGTCCATACGAGGCCGGCGTTTTGGGGGGGTGTAAACGAACATTTTTGAAACTAGGTCCCAGAGTGGAAAGATTTCAAAACTCCGTATATGCCGCTCCGTGGTTACTGCCTCTCCGCAATGTATCTGAGACGCTTGCGTCATCGCCCCGCCTCTTGTTAAAGCACGCATGCGCCGCACTCAGAAAATAATGACAACAACAATGTAGCTTGTTGGTTTTGTAATCCAGTGTGACCCGAAGCAACAGTTCAACCTCATCGTCCGCCCATACTAATGTAGTACCAGCTCGCACACTCGCCATGTTGTCTGTTTACAAAATTCCGCGCATGCCCACGGAAGTTTGGGCTTGATCCCGTCATTGCGTCACAGCGCCACCAACAGGTCTGGCATAGTTTCACAGCGTTTTCAGGCGTATTGACTACATTCATATGGACGCACACATTTACTGAGCTAACTCCGTGTTTACAGAAAAAGTTTCTGAAATTATAAGCGTTTTGTCTTCGTGTGGATATAGCCTAAGTGTCACGCCACTGGGGAAAACTCCTTAAAGACCTTATGACGGGTTTTTAAAAAAAAAAAAATAGTGGATATCAAAATTGCATGACAATGTCAATCTGAAAGAGATTCCGGCAAAAAAAATCCTAGATTTTATAAAAAGAACGTGTTTTTCATGAATTTAAGTTGTCTATGCTCTAACCTGTGTGTGACGTCACAGCGGGTAACGCCCATGCATTGAAAACCATGGATCTATGCCACAGGACTGCCTTTTCTCTCTTCTCTCCACTGATGCCCAACACAATACTGCACTCTACAGGTGACAATTGCTCACTACACATAAATTGCCGTTTTGAGTGTGAAAAAGTGTCCGAGGTGGGATTTGAACCCAAGTATCTGGATTGACAGTCCATCGACATAATCACTGGACTATCTCAGTGACAACAATATATCACAATCTAGTATTTATGTCAGACTCGCTGTACACGGCCTTGTCATCTTGAATATCCGCGAATAAGGAACGAATACCAAATTGTAAACAACTTACAGCGTTGAAACGTACCCACTCTGACGTCACCAAGGGCTGTGAAGTTTTTTCGTTTCTAAGGGCGTTGCTATGGGGTTATTTCGATTTGGGGGGATCAGACAAAAAAAACAACAACTGATTTTGAAACCTTTAGTAGTTCTCTTCTAATATAAAATGGTATTAAAACTGTATTTCTAAATAAATCAAACCCGTCATAAGGTCCTTAAAACTGTGTTCGGACGCAGATGCTGGACGTGTGTAGAAGGAGGCACGTTTACTAAGTATCAGCTGCATGAGTTTAGTCTGACGTCCTGCTGCGTTGGGCGGGAGTGGTGGTGCTTCTGTATCAGCGACACATTAGCAGCACTTGTTCTCAGCCACAGTAGATACTCAGGGTGAAGACATATGTTCACAAGCGCCGTGTCCTCCATCCTCAGTCCTGGTTTAATCCCTTTCAGCTCCGGTTCTGGTTGTTTTCGAGTGTCTTAATTATGCTGTTTGGACCGACACATGTCCCCGTGACCACTGCTGCTCTCTGATTGGTTGCTGCACGTGTTTTGAGTTTTGAGTTTTGATTGCTCTATGATCCATGGTGTCTCGTAATAACACATTACAATTCTATTCATAATCAAAACTCCAAACCACTGGATCATATTTCCATCTCTGTAGACGACCAGAACGTGTCAAATTCTTTACTAATACGTGTCGCCAACGCTATTTTAGGCCCGTCTGAAGTGGAAACAAGTGACCACATAATCCTTTGTAATTGTGTGCATGCCAGTGGGGCTTTGGGAGAAGGGGGAGGAAGGGGGAGGAAGGGGGAGGAAGGGGGAGGAAGGTAGGGGGGGGGGGGATCATGAGGGTGAGACCAGGCACCTCGTTCACGTGGGGGACACTCTCTGAGCCTCTGAGCTTCAAACGCCGGGAGTTAGAGAGAGATTCAAAAGGCCAGACTCAGAACCGAGAAGGACCAGGAGGGGGTCAAGGGAAAGAGAGGCTGGAACTAATGAGACTTCAGTTTATATGAGTGAAATATAGTATACATACAGACCTCTGTCTCAGTATACATACATACCTCTGTATCAGTATACATATAGACCTCTGTCTCAGTATACATACAGACCTCTGTCTCAGTATACATACAGACCTCTGTCTCAGTATACATACCTCTGTCTCAGTATACATACAGACCTCTGTCTCAGTATACATACAGACCTCTGTCTCAGTATACATACAGACCTCTGTCTCAGTATACATACCTCTGTCTCAGTATGGATACATACCTCTGTCTCAGTATACATACAGACCTCTGTCTCAGTATACATACAGACCTCTGTCTCAGTATACATACAGACCTCTGTCTCAGTATACATACAGACCTGTCTCAGTATACATACAGACCTGTCTCAGTATACATACAGACCTGTCTCAGTATACATACCTCTGTCTCAGTATACATACAGACCTGTCTCAGTATACATACCTCTGTCTCAGTATACATACAGACTCAGACCTCTGTCTCAGTATACATACAGACCTCTGTCTCAGTATACATACATACCTCTGTATCAGTATACAGACCTCTGTCTCAGTATACATACAGACTCAGACCTCTGTCTCAGTATACATACAGACCTATGTCTCAGTATACATACATACCTCTGTATCAGTATACATACAGACTCAGACCTCTGTCTCAGTATACATACAGACCTATGTCTCAGTATACATACCCCTGTCTCAGTATACATACAGACCTCTGTCTCAGTATACATACAGACCTGTCTCAGTATACATACAGACCTATGTCTCAGTATACATACAGACCTCTGTCTCAGTATACATACCTCTGTCTCAGTATACATACAGACCTATGTCTCAGTATACATACCTCTGTCTCAGTATACATACAGACCTCTGTCTCAGTATACATACCTCTGTCTCAGTATACATACCTCTGTCTCAGTATACATACAGACCTCTGTCTAAGTATACATACAGACCTCTGTCTCAGTATACATACATACCTCTGTATCAGTATACATACAGAATCAGACCTCTGTCTCAGTATACATACAGACCTCTGTCTCAGTATACATACAGACCTCTGTCTCAGTATACATACAGACCTCTGTCTCAGTATACATACAGACCTCTGTCTCAGTGTACATACAGACCTCTGTCTCAGTATACATACAGACCTCTGTCTCAGTATACATACAGACCTCTGTCTCAGTATACATACAGACCTGTCTCAGTATACATACAGACCTCTGTCTCAGTATACATACATACCTCTGTATCAGTATACAGACCTCTGTCTCAGTATACATACAGACCTCTGTCTCAGTATACATACATACCTCTGTATCAGTATACAGACCTCTGTCTCAGTATACATACAGACTCAGACCTCTGTCTCAGTATACATACAGACCTCTGTCTCAGTATACATACAGACCTCTGTCTCAGTATACATACAGACCTCTGTCTCAGTATACATACAGACCTCTGTCTCAGTATACATACATACCTCTGCCTCAGTATACATACAGACCTCTGTCTCAGTATACATACAGACCTCTGTCTCAGTATACATACAGACCTCTGTCTCAGTATACATACAGACCTCTGTCTCAGTATGAATACAGACCTCTGTCTCAGTATACATACAGACCTCTGTCTCAGTATACACACAGACCTCTGTCTCAGTATACATACAGACCTCTGTCTCAGTATACATACAGACCTCTGTCTCAGTATACATACAGACCTCTGTCTCAGTATACATACATACCTCTGTCTCAGTATACATACCTCTGTCTCAGTATACATACAGACCTCTGTCTCAGTATACATACCTCTGTCTCAGTATACATACAGACCTCTGTCTCAGTATACATACAGACCTCTGTCTCAGTATACATACCTCTGTCTCAGTATACATACAGACCTCTGTCTCAGTATACATACCTCTGTCTCAGTATACATACATACAGACTCAGACCTCTGTACAAACTACTCTGACCACTCCTTCCATGTTTTAGGTAAAGCTTTCATTTTGCTCTTTGGACTAAAACAGGACTAGACCAGTGATCAGTTTCTCTCTCCCCCATGAATGTAAACCCCTTGATCCTCAGTTTAGTTGTGGCCTCACCGTCCTCCGGGTCCAGGATCTCCACGGCGGCCTCCTGGGGGTACTCCAGCACCGCCATGACGGCCTCGGACAGGACGATGTGGAAGCTCTCGGATACTTCGTACTCCGAGTCGGGCAGGATCCTCACCCTCCACACGGCGCTGCTCTGTCCGGGGTTGAACTGGACCTGCCTCTGGGCTTTACCGCGGAAGTCCTGGTCCTTCAGCGCCGTGCCGTCTCTGGTGCCGATGCCTGGAGGAGGAAGAGGAGGAGGAGGAGATCAGGCTGAGGATGTGCTGCGACTTATAGTTAAAGGAGGACTATGATGCACAAGGTCCTCATTTTGTCTTCTACTTTAGGATTTCTTTCATCTTTTATATAGAGAAGGTACATTTTTTCAGTGTAAGAAATTAAAGAAAAATCAAATAAATCAACTACAAAAAGACAATGTTGACACCCAGCGACCCTGACAAACTGGCAACCCAAATTATAGACTTTGCTCTCTGGATTTCATAAATATTGTGAACACTGTGTCCACTTTTGACTATTGCTCATAAAATGGTCAAACATGATTCGTATGTGAGCGGTTCTCTGGGGACACATGTACATACTGTCCCTTTCATTTCTGAAAGACTGCAACTGAGAAACAGGAAACAGTGAGTCATGATTTTGTTTACTTAAAGATACAGTCAGTCATTTTTTTCCAGACAGTTTTTTTTTATATTGTGGGAAAACGTCCCTAAACCCGAAAAGTATCAAGATATCATGTGTTTTCAAATAGTAATGGAATTGACCAGATGTCTATAGTCTACAAGAGGGGGGAGTGGTTTGGTAGAGAGGGAGGGGAGGGGGGAGTGGTTTGGTGGAGAGGGAGGGGAGGGGGGAGTAGTTTTGGTGGAGAGGGAGGGGAAGGGGGAGTGGTTTGGTGGAGAGGGAGGGGAAGGGGGAGTGGTTTGGTGGAGAGGGAGGGGAGGGGGGAGTGGTTTGGTGGAGGGGGAGGGGAGGGGGGAGTGGTTTGGTGGAGAGGGAGGGGAGGGGGGAGTGGTTTGGTGGAGAGGGAGGGGAGGGGGGAGTGGTTTGGTGGAGAGGGAGGGGAGGGGGGAGTGGTTTGGTAGAGAGGGAGGGGAGGGGGGAGTGGTTTGGTGGAGCGGCAAGGAGAGGGGGGGAGTGGTTTGGTGGAGGGGGAGGGGAGGGGGGAGTGGTTTGGTGGAGAGGGAGGGGAGGGGGGAGTGGTTTGGTGGAGCGGGAGGGGAGGTGGGAGTGGTTTGGTGGAGAGGGAGGGGAGGGGGGAGTGGTTTGGTGGAGCGGGAGGGGAAGGGGGAGTGGTTTGGTGGAGAGGGAGGGGAAGGGGGAGTGGTTTGGTGGAGAGGGAGGGGAAGGGGGAGTGGTTTGGTGGAGAGGGAGGGGAGGGGGGAGTGGTTTGGTGGAGAGGGAGGGGAGGGGGGAGTGGTTTGGTGGAGAGGGAGGGGAAGGGGGAGTGGTTTAGTGGAGAGGGAGGGGGGGAGTGGTTTGGTGGAGAGGGAGGGGAAGGGGGGAGTGGTTTGGTGGAGAGGGAGGGGAGGGGGGAGTGGTTTGGTGGAGCGGGAGGGGAGGGGGGAGTGGTTTGGTGGAGCGGGAGGGGAAGGGGGAGTGGTTTGGTGGAGAGGGAGGGGAAGGGGGAGTGGTTTGGTGGAGAGGGAGGGGAGGGGGAGTGGTTTGGTGGAGAGGGAGGGGAGGGGGGAGTGGTTTGGTAGAGAGGGAGGGGAGGGGGGAGTGGTTTGGTGGAGCGGCAAGGAGAGGGGGGGGAGTGGTTTGGTGGAGAGGGAGGGGAGGGGGGAGTGGTTTGGTGGAGAGGGAGGGGAGGGGGGAGTGGTTTGGTGGAGAGGGAGGGGAGGGGGGAGTGTTTTGGTGGAGAGGGAGGGGAAGGGGGAGTGGTTTGGTAGAGAGGGAGGGGAGGGGGGAGTGGGGGGGGTGGAGAGGGAGGGGAGGGGGGAGTGGTTTGGTGGAGAGGGAAGGGAGGGGGGAGTGGTTTGGTGGAGAGGGAGGGGAAGGGGGAGTGGTTTGGTGGAGAGGGAGGGGAGGGGAGGGGGAGTGGTTTGGTGGAGAGGGAGGGGAAGGGGGAGTGGTTTGGTAGAGAGGGAGGGGAGGGGGGAGTGGTTTGGTGGAGAGGGAAGGGAGGGGGGAGTGGTTTGGTGGAGAGGGAGGGGAGGGGGGAGTGGTTTGGTGGAGAGGGAGGGGAGGGGGAGTGGTTTGGTGGAGAGGGAGGGGAGGGGGAGTGGTTTGGTGGAGAGGGAGGGGAGGGGGGAGTGGTTTGGTGGAGAGGGAAGGGAGGGGGGAGTGGTTTGGTGGAGAGGGAGGGGAAGGGGGAGTGGTTTGGTGGAGAGGGAGGAGGGGAGGGGGGAGTGGTTTGGTGGAGAGGGAGGGGGGGGGTGGTTTGGTGGAGAGGGGGGAGTGGTTTGGGTGGAGAGGGAGGGGAGGGGGGAGTGGTTTGGTGGAGAAGGGGGGGGGGGGGGAGTGGTTTGGTGGAGAGGGAGGGGGGGGAGTGGTTTGGTGGAGAGGGAGGGGAAGGGGGAGTGGTTTGGTAGAGAGGGAGGGGAGGGGGGAGTGGTTTGGTGGAGAGGGAGGGGAGGGGGGAGTGGTTTGGTGGAGAGGGAGGGGAGGGGGGAGTGGTTTGGTGGAGAGGGAGGGGAAGGGGGAGTGGTTTGGTAGAGAGGGAGGGGAGGGGGGAGTGGTTTGGTGGAGAGGGAGGGGAGGGGGGAGTGGTTTGGTGGAGAGGGAGGGGAGGGGGGAGTGGTTTGGTGGAGAGGGAGGGGAGGGGGGAGTGGTTTGGTGGAGAGGGAGGGGAGGGGGGAGTGGTTTGGTGGAGAGGGAGGGGAGGGGGGAGTGGTGTCCAGTTGGTGCCATGGCTAAGCTAACAACATCACTTACTGCACCTTTTGATACAAATCTAAAACGAAAAGTGGGGCTTGCATAAGTATTCATAAATACACAAGTTCATACTCTTGTTGCTGTGTTGTTTGTCTATAAATAAAGTTGAATTGAATTGAATCCTCCGCTCCAGCAGCTTTTCTTCCACAATTCTCCAGGTTTTAGTCAAAAGGCTCATAACAAACTTAGCCTCAGTGTCAGATATGGGGGGGGGCAGTGTCATGCTGTGGGGCTGCTTTTCTTCAGCAGGGACAGGGAAGCTGGGAAAGTAGATAGAGAAAAATACTGTACATTATTGGGCAATAATCTGCTGAAGGTGAGGATTCCACATAATATCACCTCCTGCTGTATGAATACTTTTCAATTTAATTTTTTTCATTAACAAAATCATGTCTCGTTGTTTTTTCACTTCGCAATAGTCTGATACTTTGTTGTGGTCGTTCAGTATCTGTTGTTGTAAAATGGCTAAATGTGTGAGTTCAAAGTGTATTTATCAATCACTCAATCTGTATTTATGAGTGCTTTTTCTACAGAGTAACACAAAACACCACAAAAGTTACAAATCATCACACAACACACACTAAACACAATTCAAATCACAAAAAGGATTACAATAATAAATAAAAACATTAAAAAGAGATAACATTCTTCAGTTGTATGTGACAGACACTATTAAAGGAGCTATACCTGTTTCTGGAGGTTTGAATGTTTAGCCCCGCCCCCAACTCGCTCACAGGCTTCTCATTTCCCCGACGCTCTCCTCCCACGGAGCATCTAGTTTTAATTTTGATCTGATACATATGCTAACGTTAGCATTAGAAGAACTTCTTGTAAGCTGAACAACAATCACTGATGAAGTGATACAAAAGCAACGCACTGCTAACACAATATATAACTGAAAGATTACCGCTAGTTTCACGTCCGAATGAAGTCCGAGCGTAGATAGTCCGATCATAGATAGTCAGAGCGTAGATAGTCCGAGCGTAGATAGTCCGAGCGTAGATAGTCAGAGCGTAGATAGTCCGAGCGTAGATAGTCCGAGCGTAGACAGTCCGAGCGTAGATAGTCAGAGCGTAGATAGTCCGAGCGTAGATAGTCTGAGCGTAGATAGTCCGAGCGTAGATAGTCCGATCATAGATAGTCAGAGCGTAGATAGTCCGAGCGTAGATAGTCCGAGCGTAGACAGTCCGAGCGTAGATAGTCAGAGCGTAGATAGTCCGAGCGTAGATAGTCAGAGCGTAGATAGTCCGAGCGTGGATAGTCCGAGCACAGATAGTCCGAGCGTAGATAGTCAGAGCGTAGATAGTCAGAGCGTAGATAGTCCGAGCGTAGATAGTCCGAGCGTAGATAGTCCGAGCGTAGATAGTCCGAGCGTAGATAGTCAGAGCATAGATAGTCCGAGCGTAGATAGTCCGAGCATTGATAGTCCGAGCGTAGATAGTCAGAGCGTAGATAGTCAGAGCGTAGATACTCCGAGCGTAGATAGTCAGAGCGTAGATAGTCAGAGCGTAGATACTCCGAGCGTAGATAGTCCGAGCGTAGATACTCCGAGCGTAGATAGTCAGAGCGTAGATACTCCGAGCGTAGATAGTCCGAGCGTAGATAGTCCGAGCGTAGATAGTCCGAGCGTAGATAGTCAGAGCGTAGATAGTCAGAGCATAGATAGTCCGAGCGTAGATAGTCCGAGCATTGATAGTCCGAGCATAGATAGTCAGAGCGTAGATAGTCAGAGCGTAGATACTCCGAGCGTAGATAGTCAGAGCGTAGATAGTCAGAGCGTAGATACTCCGAGCGTAGATAGTCCGAGCGTAGATACTCCGAGCGTAGATAGTCAGAGCGTAGATACTCCGAGCGTAGATACTCCGAGCGTAGATAGTCAGAGCGTAGATAGTCCGAGCGTAGATACTCCGAGCGTAGATAGTCAGAGCGTAGATAGTCAGAGCGTAGATAGTCAGAGCGTAGATAGTCAGAGTTTGGTGGAGAGGGAAGGGAGGGGGGAGTGGTTTGGTGGAGAGGGAGGGGAGGGGGAGTGGTTTGGTGGAGAGGGAGGGGAGGGGGGAGTGGTTTGGTAGAGAGGGAGGGGAGGGGGGAGTGGTTTGGTGGAGAGGGAGGGGAGGGGGAGTGGTTTGGTGGAGAGGGAGGGGAGGGGGGAGTGGTTTGGTAGAGAGGGAGGGGAGGGGGGAGTGGTTTGGTGGAGAGGGAAGGGAGGGGGGAGTGGTTTGGTGGAGAGGGAGGGGAGGGGGGAGTGGTTTGGTGGAGAGGGAGGGGAGGGGGGAGTGGTTTGGTGGAGAGGGAGGGGGGGGTGGTTTGGTGGAGAGGGGGGAGTGGTTTGGGTGGAGAGGGAG